TTGTGATTGTGTTTGATTGCATTTCACTTTGTTAGTATTAACGTAGTTTAGGGTCAGGAGAGACTAAATGTGCATGTTGATGGACTAATGAATAATGTGAAGAACACTACAAAGTTGGTATAATTCGAATAGTTTTACTTCTATCAGTCTAATTCTGCTGTTCCTACCGAGTTTTTCATAGCACCTGCCTAACGGGGTTTTCTGACAATATTTGCATGCCTAGTAACCACATAGCAGTGTACCAAAGGTCAGCCTGTGAGCTTCTAGTGTGGACTTTACTGCTCTGTAGCCAGGAAGTTTCACTTTTCCCAGTACAGAGTGGAATCAGTTTCCAACTGAAACGTGTGAGATGTTTGATTACAATTCAGGCTTCTGCAGCATTTCTGCTTGTACTCTGTTGTTTCGGTGTTCAGTATTGCCGCGATGGAGAGTCGGGACGCAGCTTGATGCAAGCAAGATGTCTGTTTATTGTTGTTTTCCACAAATACTTAGAGTTTTCTTGGCTTAGCGTGTTCTCTGCCAATTGGCTTATTGTATACATCAGGTGTACACTAATTGGTTAACCTAAGGCACAACTATTTGTTACATGTCTTCTACCCCAGCAACATCCCAGCAACTTCCTAACTGGCGACTGGTGAGCCAGCAGGCAGGCACTTTCTGTTCAAGGTTCCCATCTCCATGCTTACTCCTCCCAAGGCCTTCGGGCAGCAAGTCCTAACACATCCCCTGACTAGCCCAGACATGCTGGAGCCTTGCTGAGAGCAGCGAGGCCACTCCCCACAAGTATTGTCAGTCTCCAAAACCTGATAGGAAGTGCATCTTGAAGTGGCTGCTGCACATTGAACTGTACATCGTATCTAGCAACAGACAGGTCTAAGGCAGGAGAAAAGGAAGCGAAGATGCTCCTTTTCACCCAGAGTCTGGCAGCATAGGAGCTATGAACTGTCAAAGTCAGGGAACTGTTAGAGAGATCTTCTCTGATACCACTGTATGGCTGTTCTAAACATCATATATGAAGTTGAAGCTGTACAGAACAACCCTCTATGCTCTGGAACAACTGTTGCGTACAGAAAGGAGATACAGAGGAGGCTGTTTGCTTGCACTTTTTGTAGAATGAAGATTTCAGTTCCAGTTTGAGGTAAGCTTTGGATCTACTGGAGTTCTGAGGGGTGGCCTCATCCGCCAAGTAGTGATCAGATGTGTGGGGTTTTTTGGTTTTGTGGGGATTTTTTTTGTTTGTTTGAGTTTGTTTTGTTTTGTTTGTGTGTATGTTTTGGTTTTTTGTTTTGTTTTCCTAAAGTGGTCCCAGAGGGCTGCATTTGTATTTTTC